TTTTTTTTCCCCCTTTTTGTCTTTTTTTGTGACCGGTAACGGGATCGCAACCCTCAGTGTCGCACCCGTACCACAACTGGCAACAGGATTGCAACCCTCAGTGTCGCGTCTGCACCGCGCTCAACCAGTGAGCGGACCTGTCTGCACCGCGCTCAACCAGTGAGCGGACCTGTCTGCACCGCGCTCAACCAGTGAGCGGACCTGTCTCTATATGGGATCTGAACCCTCGGCGGGAGCGCCACCGTGCTCCCAAGTGCCGCACTCTACCGAGTGCGCCACCGGGCCGGCCCTGTGTAGGGTTTTGCCACATAGAAAGTGCCACATAAACGTCCCCTAAACTTTACACGGACTCTCTCAGTTCCTATGCAAGAAGCCAATGGTGGGCACATCATACCCATTTCACAGCAAGGAAGCCGAGGCTTTGGGGTTCTCACCTGAGGTCACCCAGCCAGTGAGTGTCCACTGCTGGTGGAGCCTGTGCTGGGGAGGCTGGCCGGGGACCCTGCCTCAGTGGAAGGGCAGCCCCTCCATAGGTGTCCCCCTTGTCCATTCCAAGCACAAATGAAAAACCAAGATTTGCAGGGCTGAGAAGTGGGTTCATCCACTACCTACTGCAAGAAGAGAACAGTTAGCCCAGGGAGCACACAGTCCAGTACAGAAGATCGACAGAGGCCAGGCCTGGGCTGCGTCTAGAAAGATGGAGAGGGTTCTTTAGGTCTAAGGCTAAAGTTCTCAACCCTAGGTGATCCCACAACCCTGAGATACTGGGCAATGTCTGGGGGCATTTGTCATTGTCAGGACTGGGAATCCCCCTGGCGTGGAATGGGTGGAGGCCAGGGGCGCTGCTCAGCACCTGCAGTGCCCAGGGTGCCCGCCACAGAGAGCAATCCAGCCTGTGTCCACAGTGCTGAGGAATCTAAGGGCATCCTAAGCAGAAGGAAACGTGAGCAAAGGCCAGAGTTGAGTAAGTGCTGGGGAGGCTGTGGGACAGGAAGGTGACTTGACCCATAGTTCCGTTCTGGGAAGTGTGTGCTGAGAGTGGCCCAGGTGGGTGAGGCCATGGCCCAAGGCCACACGGCCTGGAGCAGGAGGCCGGACAGCACAATGCACTGTCTTTCTGAGCATTTTGTAGGGTCCTGTTTCTCCAGGGCCCGACAGAGCTCTTCTGAGATATGACATGGTCCTGCTGCAACCCTGGGGCTGCTGCACCAGAGGTCACCAATGGAGAAGGGCATGGAGGTGGTGTGTTAGGGTTCTCCAGAGAAACCTACAGGATGTGTTTAAGTGTGTAAAGAGGCTTAAAAGGAACTGCCTCACATGATCGTGGAGGGTGATAAGTCCCAAGATCTGCCGTCAGCAAGCTGGAGACCCACGAGAGCCAACAGTGCCATTCCAGACAAGCAACAGGCAGGAGCAATTCTCTTACTCGGGAGGGTCAGCTGTTTCGCTCTGTTCAGGCCTCAGCAGATGCGATGAGGCTCACCCACACTGGGGAGCGTTGAGTCAGTCCACCAAATGAAAGGTTAGTCTCATCTGAAAACCCTCCCAGACACACCCAGCATAAGGTGTGACCAAATATATCTGGGCACCCCATGGCCCAGGCAGGTCGACACAAAATGAACCACCGCATGTGGCAGAGTGGTCTGGGGGCTTCTGGGGAGCCATCTGCAACCAGAGGAAGGTGGGGATGTGCCCTGTCTGACTGAGCACCACACTGGTCCCAGGCCATTTTTCATGGAAAAACTCAAACATTCACGTGGCACAACATTGCGTAAGAAGGAATATGAAGAAAAGAACATTGCCTTCTCCGGAGGCAGACACTGCTAAGTTATCTATGCATCTCTCCTGAAGTCTTTGGGATACGGACTTGGATATTTTTTTCTTTTTAACAATAATGGAAACCTAGTGTCACCCCAGTTGTACACACTGGTTTAGCCTGCTGTCCCCCCGGTTGTACCTACTGCTTTAGCCTGCTGTCCCCCCGGTTGTACACACTGCTTTAGCCTAGTGTCCCCCCAGATGTACACACTGCTTTAGCCTGGTGTCCCCCCGGTTGTACCTACTGCTTTAGCCTGGTGTCCCCCCGGTTGTACCTACTGCTTAAGCCTGGTGTCCCCCCAGTTGTACCTACTGCTTTAGCCTGGTGTCCCCCCAGTTGTACACACTGCTTTAGCCTGGTGTCCCCCCGGTTGTACACACTGCTTTAGCCTGGTGTCCCCCCGGTTGTACCTACTGCTTTAGCCTGGTGTCCCCCCGGTTGTACACACTGCTTTAGCCTGGTGTCCCCCCAGTTGTACACACTGCTTTAGCCTGGTGTCCTCCCGGTTGTACACACTGCTTTAGCCTGGTGTCCCCCCAGTTGTCCACACTGCTTTAGCCTGGTGTCCCCCCGGTGTACACACTGCTTTAGCCTGGTGTCCTCCTGGTTGTACCTACTGCTTTATCTTGCATCTCGGGCTCAGTTTCTTTGCCTGTGTATGTACATCTCCTGTGTCCTTTTTAAGGACAGCTTTGTGTAGCCCAAGTATGGACTGGAACTGACCAGTTCCCTCTGGATGGGTGTTGCTTTGGTAAGCCAATGTGTGCACAATCTTGCTCATGTGTACGTAGGTACCAAACAGATTAAATCTTATGATTAGGAGAGTGTATTAAGTGTCATGGTTGGCAGAATAATGGCCCCAAAGATACCAAGATCTAGTCCCCAGAACCTGTAGATATGTCATTTGCATGGCAAAAGAAACTGTGGATGGGATGGAACTAAGGGCCTTGAGATGGGAGGCCGTCCTGGGTTACCCATGGGCCCAGTGTCCTCACAGTGTCCTCATAAGAGGGGGCAGGAGGGTCAGAGGCAGAGACTGGAAGATGCTGCGCTGCTGGCTTTGCAGATGGAGGAAGGGGCCACGTGCTGAGGGTTGCAGGAGCCTCTAGAAGCTGGGAAAGGAGGACATGGGTCCTGCCCTGGAGCCTCCAGGAGGCACCAGCTCTGCCCACGCCTTGACTTTAGGCTTCTGATCAGTATGAAAATTAATTTGTGTTGTTTTAAGCCATCTAGTTGGTGGTCATTTGTTACAGCAGCCGTAGGAGACTTACACACGTATATATAAAGCACTTATTTTGGTGCGACCATATTGCCCTCCAGAAACCTCACAGCAATTTGTGTTCTTTGTCCACCAATTTCCATTGCCACTAATGACATGTGAGAACATCTGTGTGGCTGAAGGGTTTGTAAGGATCAGTGTGGGCTGAGAAGACGAGGGCGTTGCATGGCCTCTGTCTTTTCATTTCACCGAGCCTCCCGTTCTGGTCATCTTGGAGCCGTTGAATCAGGTTTTGTATGAGTGTCCTGTAGCTGCTGTAACATGTTCCCCCAGACAAAGTGGTCTCAACGCAGATCATCTCACAGTCCTGGGGCGCAGTCTGACGCGGGCCTCCCTGGGCTAAAGCCAGGGGACGGGCAGGGCTGGTCCCTTCTGGGGGCTCCAGGGGAGGACCTGGGTCTTCCTTTTCCAGCTTTAGAAACCATCACCCATGGTGTGGGCAGAAAGGGATATCAGGACTTGTGCTCTGCTTCCAGCCAGTCGCTGAGCTGTGGAAACCCCTTTGGCAGTTCAAGCAGGAACCCGAGAACGTGCCCATCTCCACAGACCGTGGCCTGTTTGGCTTTCAGGGAAGTGTAACTCCAGCGTCCATAACTTGGAGCCGCCTGTGTCCCTCAGTCATGACTCTGCTATTTCCCTTGCTGGGTGATGGCCAGGACAGAAAGAAGGAATTTCAAGGAGAAAGAAACAGTCCCAGGTACTGCTGGTGGGTGTAAAGGCTTCATTTGTGGTTGTCACGACTGAGGGTTGGGGGGTGCTCCTGGCATGGAGTGTGGGTGGAAGCCAAGGACACTGCTCAGCATGTCTCCATGCCCAGGACAGTCCCGCCACAGAGAATTCAGCCCCAAACATCCACGGTGCTGCGGGGGAGGGACCCTGGCATAGTGGAATGGATCTCAAACTGTCCCCAGCCCAACAGCATCAGCGTCACCTGGGAGCCTGGTAGAACTGCAGTTTCTCAGGCCCCACTCCTGACCTCTAAATCCGACACTCTGGGAGCGGGGCCTGGTCACGTC